TCCCCATGGCCAAGGCCCTTGTTCTGGTCCCTCACCTCAGCTCCACCATCAGTACCACCACTTATCCGGGAACAACAAGCATTAAAAATCCTTTTGATTCAAGGGCAAAAGAATGAGAATTTCTCTCTGGTTCCTCTTAGAACATTTATTTCTATCATATTTATTTGTCTAATTGAACATCTAAAAAACAGGGATAATATCCGCAGCAATCACAGATGGGAAATCTCCCCTAAACTGTGCAGCCCCATGGGGCCTCCGTGCACACAAGGTCATATGCCCGTGTTGGGCCATACGAACCTCCGTGCAGCCTCCTGGGGCCTGCATGTGCATGGAGCTGGGGGACCTGTACAGGCCTCCATGTGGTCTCCCGCGGTCTCGGGGCGCACGCGGGCATACGGTCTCTACAAGCCTCCCTGCAGTCTCCCAGGTCCTCCATGCACACAGCACTGGGGGGACCCTATAGGCATCTGTGCGGCCTCCCAGTGTTTCCATGAGTGTGGGGCTGGGCACGGACTACGGTCCTTCGTGAGGGCCCCGGTGACTCCGTGTGCACGCGGGCAGGGGACCCCACAGGTGTCCGTGAGGGACCCGGGGCCTCCATGCGCATGGGGCCTGGGAGCCCAACAGGCCTATACGTGGCGTCCCAGTGCCTCTGTGCACACAGGGCCCGGAGGGCCCTAGGGGCCTCTCTGCATACCCTAGGGTGTCCATACACACCGGGCTGGTAGGGCCCAAAGGGCTTCCATGCACCCGAGGCCGTGGGAGAGCAAAAGGCCTCCCTGTACGGCTCGCTCAGATCTCTGTGTGAATGAGAACACGAGGGCCCTATGTGTCTCCGTGCTGCCCCCTTTGGGCCTCTGTGCACATGGCAGTGGGGTGGCCCTATGGACCTCCATTGGGCTCCCTGGAACTGCCGTATGCACAGGGCCAACAGCGCCCTACGGGCCTCCCTGCTCCCCCTGGGGCCTCCATGTGCAGAAAGCCCAGGGAAACCTGGGGCAGCCCCGCAGGGCTCCCCTGGCCAAGTGCGCACGGACCCCTGGGGGGCTGTACCCATAGGGCCTCCCCAGATGAGAGCCCACAGAGGTCTCAGGGGCCCACATGGAGGCCCATAGCCCCTGCCCTGCCAGTGCGCACGGAGGCCTCTGGGAACTGCACAAAAGGACATAGGGCCCCCTGAGCCCATGAGCATGGGGGCCTGAGGGGCATCAGGAAGGCCCATAGGGCCCCCCAGCCCTGTGCACACAGACCCTAGGGAACCGCACAAAAATTCATAGGGGCCCCTTGGTCCGTACAAACAGAGGCCCCTGGGGGCCGCACCAAGGCCGATAGGGCCCCCCCGGCCCCTTGCACACAGAGGCCTTGGAGTCTGCTCACAGGCCCATGGGGCCCCCCGCGGCCGTGTGCCCGGAGGCCCCTTGTGCACAAAGCCCCGTAGCGGTGCAGGATGCGCTGTGGTGGTGGAGGCGGCCCTAGCCCCTGTCTCCACTGTGAGCGGCCTCGTGGCGCCCTGCGGCCTCTGTGCTGAGGCCCCGGGCACCTTCGTGCTGGGGCTGCTGGACCAGGGGCTCCTGGTGGACACGCAGCTGCTTCTGGCCTCCACGGAGAACCTCCCCCTCAGCTCTGTCACCAGCGTCCTCATCGTCTCCACCTTCTTCCTGCTCATCTTCCTCAAGGGGCGTGAGCGGGTGCTGCCAAGTGGCTTCCCTCGATGGCGCCTGCCAGCACACCCGGGCTCCTGAACCGCCTCCGTGCCCTGGGTGAGGACCCAGCTCCAGCCAGGTGCCAGGATGGGTCTGGGAGTTCTCAGCAACGGCCAGAACACGACCCCCGTGTGCAGGAGACTGGTGCTCACCTAGCTGTGGCCACTGGCTGCTCCATACGTGGTCCACAGGCATCAGACTCTTTAAAAATTAACTTGTTTCAGCAGTCACCTTCACCTCTCAGGCTTTGGCTGCGCTCGGATCATGGCTACAACTTTTCCTGGACCCCCTCCTGACCTCCTCACCCCCAGCGGCAGCTTGATGGGAGCAGTTACGGTCACTGGTGCTGGAAAAGTGCTCTGGAAAACTCCTCCCCAGCGCACACCTGCAAGGCAGCGGCTGCGCGCACCTCCCGGGAGAGGGCCCACGTGTGGCCTCCACTCAGGGTGGCAGGAGAGGGGTGCAGCAGCACCCAGAACGCGGCCCGCAGCCAGGGGCAGCCACGCGCCCGGCATCAGGGCAGGGGGGGCTGAAAGGGGGTGGGAAACATCCTTCCTCTATTGCTTTAACAGTCAGAAACGAGGGGGAAAGGGCTCTCGGCCACGGGGTACGCAGAGCACAGCCTGACTCCTTGTAAGGGGTGCGTGGAGGGATGCGACAGCTACAGGGGGGAGCCCCTCCTGAGATGAGACAGCTCCTGATGCTATTAAAGATAAAGTTGATGCTGTTGATGCACCAGGCTGCTGGAGGAGAGCCAGCTGAGCTGTGCGGGCATCGCAATTGTTTTGTACCTCACACCGGAGTACAGGGCTGGGTCCTTGTGCACACTGGGACCCAAGGGTCCCAGCAGTTGCATCCAGAGCCTGAAGGGATCTTCTCTCCCTTTCCGGGAGAGGGCTTTAAGTGCAGAAGTTCTCTCTGTATCAAGATCAAAAGGAATCAGAGCTAAGTTAGGCCACACCAAATGAACAGCGTGTATAAGAGGTTTAATTGCACTTTATTTTTCAAAAAGTGAAATGAAAATTGCTCAAGTTTCCCATCTGCAATTAGAAAGGAGAAATGGAATTTGCTAGTATTAGTAGGTACCTCCCCTAGGCCATTATCACAGACACGGGGTCCAAAGGCCACTTCAGGGGCTCTACACTCCAAGCAGGACAAGGAAGGGGACCCGCTCAAGATCTGGGTTTCACAGACTTTCATTCAGCACCAAATAATTCTTCGGTACTTTGACTTGGGGAGCTGCTCCCAAGGAAACACCAGCAATATTTACCCGACAACACAAGCCTCTGCAGGAGAGCAGGTTGGCTAGTTTGCAAACTTTGGTCTCCACCATTTTAGCTGCATTTGGCAATTTATCACCCAGTGGGCAAAGCAGGGGCAGGGACCTGGTGCACAGCTTCAATTTAAGTGAAGGAACGCCCAGTGTTTGATTTTTCTTTCAAGAAATTGCACCTAGGAGGACTGGATCAAGTTCAGTTCAGAGATAAGACCAGTTATAGAACTTAAAGAGGAGTGGAAGTGCTTTAAGAACTTGCACCTTAAGGGGAAAGCTTTTTCATCTTATTTTTAAGGTTATTAAGAACCACTTATACTTTCTAGTTGTCTTAATGCAGGTGAGGCTAGAACTAAGTGTTTACCCACTTGTCTGCTTTTCTCTTTTGCTCCATTTAGACCAGGAGGTTATAGCCCAAAGCTTTGGCAGCTTGGCAAATGCTATATCCTAACCTGGCCTTCATCCAGCCACCTTTTGGTATTTTTACCTCATGCCACTTTGACCAGCTGCAGAGGAAAAGGCACAGGAGACTTGGCCTAGGGTAACTCCCTGTGTCTGGAAAAGGAGCACATGGACATGTCTGTATTGCTACTAATAAGGGGCTTCCCCTGCCAATGCAACATAACCCAGTTAAAGAGCTCACCTCTGACTGTGCACAGAGTGAGAATAGGTGAGTGTAACAGTCTGCGCAGAGAGCTGCTTCCATGAGCGAGCCTCAGACTGCTCCATAAAACAAGGGTGGAAATTTGGCTTCCCAAAACAGTAACTGTCAGATGCTCCCTCTGCGCTTGGAGTGTTGGCCCAAAGGAGCCCCTGTGGCTGGTACTGCTAACTGGCCACTCTGCTGAGCAGGGCTGGGGTTAGAAAGCAGCGCCCGGGCTGCAGCTCTCAAGGGCTGGCAGGTCCAAGCTGAACAGCCTCGGCCCCTGGGGTTTCCACAGGCTGCCTGTGCAGAGCCTGTGCTCACAAAACAAACCTGCCCTGGCTCTCGTGGCTGAATTGCTCACCTCCATGGCTAAGCACGTGGTGAGGAGCTGGGGTAGAGCTCCTGGGAGCCACCTCTGGGCACTTAGAATAATATTCCAAAGAAATCCTCACTGGGAAAGGAGAAGAGATGTTAGTCTGTTTAAAATCATAATCTAATGAAAAGTTCTGCCCAACTTGTTCTTCTGAAATGCTTTACAAAGTTCATATTTGCATGAAGTTTCAGATCAATGAATCAAGGGTTCACGCAAGGAGGACAGCAATACAAACATGCAGCAAGACCGGCCAGTTCCTCCAGCTAGGCCCAACCTCTGCGCATGTTTGTCAGGTCAGAAAGATGGGTCCGAGCATTTAAAAGTGCAAAAAGAGCCACTTGCTCCCAGAGCCCGTCAGCCGGCAAGACAAGAAAGTTCACAATTGTTCACAACTATCCCATATAGGCAGCTTGTAAGTGCCAAGTGCACATGAGGAGTCCATGCCCAAAGAAGATGGCTCACAGGCTTCCCAGAGAACTCTTCATCCCAGCCAGTCCAGATCATCATCATCATCATCCCCAAAGAGTGGAGCTGGAGGGGGGCGCCCCTTCATGCTCTGGAAGTGAAACCAGAGGGAAGTCATCAGTCTAAACAGCTTCCCAGGGTTTAGCAATTCCTAAACAACTTAGAGGCTCCATCAGCTACAGGGAGACTCTATCAAGGAGCCTCACTACTGCCATCGCCATCTTTGCCACATTGTGTCTTATCCAGGAGAGATGGTTAACACTTGAAAGGGATAGGAGAGGGATAGGACACTAAAAAACCCTCTGAGGTTCTTGTAAGATTAGAACCTCACCGTAAAGCACTAGAGCTTTACAATGATACTTGAGTTAACATGGCAATCTCACTAACTTCACGTCAACAGGAGTTTTCTGTCACTACCATGTCCCATGCAGCTCAACAAGGAACAGTCCCAGGTACTGCAAGTTTAAAGCAGAGCATCCAGGAAGCTCTGACCCCATTTACCAGGGATCAATCAGTTCCCACAGCCCTGGAAAGGATTTCACAGAGAAACTACAGGTTACTGCCAGGAGCGGCTTAGTAGGAATGGAATGGAAGGATACAAATGGCACCTACCACTTCCTCCTCATCCTCTTCCTCAGATGGAATTTGAGGCTTCGGTGCTTTATTAGATGCTGTTTTAAAGAAGCTGTCATCTTCAAAAAGGCTAGAAGAGCATAAAGGATTAGCAGTTCACCTGTTGCTTATGGGATCTTGGTTTCCATTTACGTGTTGTATTAGGAATGCTACTAGTCTCATCACTCAAGCAAACTCAGCTTTGGCTTTAAGACATTATTCACCACTGCAGAGTGGTGCTCAGGGTGCCCTGGCATCCCTCGACAACAGAGGTCCCAGGGAGAGAGCCCGCTCCGCTCGTTGCTCAGCTAGGAGCTGCTCACAGGAGACGAGAGCGCCGCTGCCCCCAGTCCGATGCCCCTTCTGCAGCTGCGGTCGCAGCAGAGCAGGATGGCAGCCGGGACGCACCAGCAGCTTCCCGGCTCGTGCCATACGGGACCAGCACCTTGGCAGCTGCTCGGCCCTCCTGTGTGTGCTGTCCCACCCTGTCACAGCATGTGCTGTCCCCTTGGGCAAGCAGCAGGAAAATGAGACAGTGGCTACCCCAGCAGCCCCAGTTTACCTGGAATCCTTCTGCCCAGTGCTGCAGCTTGACTCCTGGTGGCCTGGGGTTTCTCTGATGACAGCTGAACTCTTCTCTTCTGCATTGGATGCTGAAGCAGGCTCCTCAGAGCTGTCCCCATCAGAGGGGCCTGTACAGCTTCCTCCATCGCTATTTAAGGGAGGAGGCTCTAAACCTCCCACAAGCTCCTCTGCAGCTTGCTTTTCTGGGAGCGTGGTCACGTCCACCTCTTTTGGCTTTGTCTCTAGAGCAGAAACTTCTCCAGCTTCTGCCTGCAAACACACTCCTGAGGGACATAATCCATTCTCAGCTATTCTGATAGAACCACCCTCCTCCTTTTGCACAGCTGAAATGAAGCTCTCATCCACAAGAGGAACTGGCTGTCCTGCAATCACCAGGCCCTTATCAGGATTCAGAGAGGATTCAGGTCCTGAAGAGGAGGAGCAAAGTTCACCACAAACCTCTACAACCTTCTCCTCTTCCGACACTCCATTGCTTTGTGTAGCCTGTTCTTCCTCTGGGGGTCTTGGCCTAGCAGCTGGAGTAGCAGGTTCATCCTCCTCACCAGACACTGCTGTGGTTGCCTCCCCGAGATCAGACGGGCACGTAGAGCTCCGTGCTGGGCTATGCAGTGTGGGCTCTCTGTGGTCTTCCTTTGCTTCAAGTGATTCCTCCCATTTCCCTGCTCCTGTCCCAGATCCCTCTGCTTTACTGCCATGCTCTTGTCTTGCTTGCTGCCTGTGAAGTAGCTGCAGTGTTACAGTCTAAAAAGAAATTGAGTGGAGAGAATGTAGGTTACACCCTGGATGAACTACCACGGTAATTTTCCCACTGTTGGGCTGCCTTGCTACTCGTAACAAGCTTCTCCTTAACGCTTGTTTAACAATGTTATTTAACACTCACTAAAACTTGCGCTTTAGCCCAAACTTATTTCTTACTTATCACCTTGCACATATCTCAGTTCTACCTTAATCGTGTTCATGATAACACCCAGAACCGTCCTGCCACTGTATGTCTCTTCCAGTTCAAATTCACACCGAAGAGACTGAAACACTCCATTCATTATCTTCTTTACCTAGAAGAGCAAAAGAAACCGGCAGGCATGTCACTAACTTGTGAGGCATTGGACCCTCAAAAAAAATCATATATTCCTCCAGGCAAGGAAATAATCAACTCAGCAAAATTCATTTGGTTTCAAATAAATTCTTTTTCAGATTAGAAATTCTTGTACTACTCATGTTGTTTGATTCTGAAATTATATGCACAAAGCAATCTCTCCAGAACAGAAGCAAGCCGTGAACTGAGGCAGTCACCGTTAAATTTCTAACATTCTTTCAATTCTTAAATCAAAGTCTAAATATTAGGTTTTATTCTAAAGATAGAGCAACAGAGTTGGCAGCCAGAATTAAAAGTCACATCCTTTCTTCCAGCGTAGGCCCTGCTACTAGAAACATATGACAGCCAGTGCTTCTACAGGACGGGGAGAGAGGAGGAGGGAAGCCCGGAAAACAAGACTTGTAAGGAGAATTAAAAATAAATAAATACACAATGTGTGCACACACACACACCCCAAACTTGAGAAATAATTTAAGCTAAGTAAGAAATAAATAAAGATAAGAGAACATATCTGCCTAGTGAGAAAAAATACTTGCTAGCCAAGCTCACTTCTTCTACGAAGTCTGCAGGTGGAGATCCATCCTGATCCTTTGCCAGCTCTTGTATGCGTTCTTCATAGCCAGCCCTCAGCACCGTAACGTCAGCCTGCAAGGCTGAATACTGCCAAGGAGAAACTTGCAGTCAGAACACCTTCACAGACAGACCCACAATAAACCTTGCATTGGGATAACACCCAGAGTAGTTGTGGCATTACTGAGCTCCCAAAAAAGGGCTGTGTCTCATCACTGGGTGCGCCCTGGTTTGCTGGAAGCCCTATCAATTTTTTTTTTTCCTCCAGCAAGGTACTCATGCACTTGTTGTTCTGGACATGGCAGCCTGGGGCTAGTGATTACTGCACAGCAAGTTATATTCACCTTCTCTTTGATGGGCTCTAGTTCTTCTAAACGTTGCTGCAACTCTGAAAATTTCTGCTCCTCTTCTTTTTTGGAGTGTTTTAGAGCTGTGAGCTGAAAGATAAGAACCAAAACCCTTTCGTTTACAGCCCTTTCCAGGATCACTCAGTTCAAGAGGACTTTTACTTGAGTGACTGCTACCCAGTAGAACAGCCGTTTAGCAGAAGAGACTGTAACTGCTGCTTTAATCCAAGCCTGACATCTTGGCTCCACCTCATTCAGAGCTGCCGTAGCAAACTTACTACCCAACCAACCCAGAGCAGCAAAGACAAGCACAGGCACATCCCAGGAGCAAGCTGGTGAAACAAAAACTGAAAGACAAACCACAACCAGGTGGCAGGGAACCATTGGTTACACTTTCTGGTTATTTGGCATTACATTTCAAGAGTGAGGAACAGCTCTTTACCTTCTCTTCCAGCTGGGACACCTTCTCTTGCAGAGAATCCCTTTGCTCACACACCTCCTGGTACTGCCTAACGTGCTGCTCCTTGGCAGAAGCCAGCGTACGTTCACATTTGGCTTCCCACTGGGACTCCAGCTCTGCCTGGATGAGGGACAGCTGCCCAGCAAGTAAGAGAGATTATTAGGAACAAAACACACACTTGATCCGTATTTGCACAAATCGTTGAAAGCCGAGGGCCTGGCAAGTGGTGGAAAAGCAACACCTCCTGCCCCGGGCCACGACACCAACATATGGAGGCAGCATGTTTAGAGGGACGGAGAAGTGAACCCCATGCGAAAGTTACTCCCTTAAAGTACAAAGTTACCATCTTCATTATTTTACTATCTGAGCAGTTTTTATGCTCTTTTCCTAACTATAAACTCCTAGAAGGCTTCCAGACACTTGTTGGAGAAGCTCCTACACCTCCTCACCTGCTCTGCTGCTGCCTGGTCAGTTGAAGTCCGTGCCTTTTTCAGCAGCTGTCGTATCTCTTCCATCTCTTCTTCTGCTTGAGTTCTCTCTGCGAGGGATTTCTTTTTCCTCTCTGCAAGGTTCTGAAATACAGATTAAGACTTAAGCCTAGGCCAGACTGTACCAAAGTAGCTTTTCTTCCTCTTTTATAAAGGAAATTTGGGTTTGCCTGCAATGCTAGAGCTGAACATACCCTTTCAAGGGTCTCCTTTTCTACTTTTAGATCTGTTAGCTCTTCTTCCAGTGCTGCAATCTTCATGTCCAGGTGCTTGCGGCTCTGCTTCTCAGCTTTGAATCTAGTACGAGTATCTTCTGAGGCTTCTTGCAGCTCTGTGAGAATAGACCTTACTAAAGATCTCAGCACTCCATGTTTCAGCTTAGTATTTTGGGGGCAGGGTTGGGGGTGGAACAGTGGCTTTTGCACAGCGTTAGCATCTGCTGTGGGAAACAGTTTGTCAAGAGTTTCTTTGTGAAACAGGCACACTTAACACCTCTGCCTCCATCCAAACTTGTCACCCACTAGCAAATACCTCTGGCTTCTCTACAAAACATTTGCTATCTCAGCATGGCCCAGACCTTGCTTCTGCAAAAGGCATCCCTGTGACAAACTGATTCTGTTCACTTTCCTTCAGTGGTAACAGATGCACACACCCCTCACACACCTTAGAGAACCAACATCCTTTTTGACATCCTTGCACTTGCTGCAGTTAAACTGCATGTCGTGAAATCTTGGATTTCATACCTACAATTAGCTATTCCGACAAAATGTGATAAAGACATCTTGTGCCTACCAGCAAAAGAGCTCATCAGAGAAATGTGGAAAATGCCAAACAAGTCAAGAGTCTGTCAACTTTGAAAGAGCCCACACTGAGCCACAGAATATCTGCTGGGATTATTCCCTACTGCCTCATCTAATGCCAAGGAATAAATCATCATCTTTCCATAAATTGGATGCCCAAAGCATGCAGTGCAGAGCAAGACACCACAGAGCACCAATCATGGTCATGGAAGGAACGTGGTCCAAACCACTAACTAAACTGAGAAAACAAAACATAAAAATGATAGATCTGGTGAAGAACCCTGAGCATCACACCCCTGTGGGCTCCTCTAAAAACACTGGGAAAGTTTCCTGCACAGCCAACACAGGTCCAAGAAAGAGAGGGCTAAGGGAGGAAGCCAACCCTCGCAGTACAACGCAGCCCTCACCTGCCAGCTGTCCTTGCAGCTTGTTAAGCTGCACCTCATGGCGCTCAGCCTCTTGCAGGGCAGCAGAGAGCTGCTTCCGCAGGTCCATTTCCTTCTTCTGGTGGGCGGTCAGCTCCAGCTGCAGCTGGGAAACCTGTGCCGTGGCACTTGCTAGTTCCTCCGCAACTTTGGCCTGCATCACAGAAGGGAAGGCAGGGGAAAAAAGGGAATAGCAAGATATGTGGGTACGAGAAAGCACCAAAACTGCTTTATCAAGTTGAACTGATGAGCTACTCGAGAGCTACAGTCTCTGCTTACTCTGCCCAACCATCCCCTCTTGAAAATTATCTATCTGCTAGAGATAATTTGCCCACATCTCAGTAGAAATGGAGCTCAAGCAGGTTGTGCAGACCTGCATGCTGCAATCCAGCATCTCGGAGACACTTCCGGATTGGGGAGGTAATAACTTTGCACTACGTAATTCGAGTAATTTGGCAGTAACCTGTCCATACTGACAAAGCTACCAACAATCACCACTGTAGCAGCTCACCTCAGCGTGTTTTCCCACAAAGTTTAAACACATTTTTAAGACTAGCATTGGCGATGGGTGGCTCCGTTCAGAGTTTTCAGGCTATGACAATCTCTATCCAGGGAAGAGCCTGGGCACCAAGACCTAATTAGCCTTAATAAGCTTACAGATCACCAATAATATAGGCTTGTTCCGGTCAAAAGAGCACCTTCCCTCCAGAGCATACAGCATGTGGTCCCTTTGAGGTGCCTGAATGGCAAAACAGCCATTTTAGAGCATGCTTCTCAGTAATTTGTTGATCCATTCAGATTTAGTATTGCTTAAGCCATGGAAAACCAGAAACTAATATAGCTTGTTAGACAACATGTAAACAACACGTTAAAAGAGCTTAAAGGCACCAAGACATAGACGCAAACAAAGTAATTCTCCCAGTCTTGTTGTGTAGAACATGCAGACTTCTGAGGATGCTCTGCAGAAGCAGAGCTACTTCCCTTCAGGAGACCTCACTTGCTGCAGGGAATGCCTAAGTGTTCTATATCAGGGCCTCTGTTCAGATTCATAACAGATGTTCCTGTAGCTGATGAGCTGTGCTGAACTGGAGTTTTCTATGTGGTCTCTTCAGTCCCTGACCAGCATCTTCTGGCAGAGGAGAGTTGCAAGGCAAATTCCTTCCAAGTACAGTGAGGATGAATACACACTGGCCTTAAAGGCTAGGATACTACACCATTAATTGTAAGAGCTATTTTAATAGAGCCTGTCTAAAAACAGATCTGTTTGCCTGTTACATTCCCATAAGGGTCTCTCTGCAGTTCAAGACACCAACTCTTAGCAGCCTTACAACCACAACACACACACACAGGTCACATCCAAAGATTACTTTAAACACTTGCCTCAGTCTTTAGGGATACAAAGAAAAGTAAAAATGAGATTTTATTTCAGGAACTTAAAAAACCTAAGTTTCTGCCATGAATGCTTCAGATCTATACCAGTGCAGCTTCAGCCTCCAAGAATCTTATGTGATCTGTATCTGGTGTGACAATTATATGATACCTCCCCCACAGGAAGAATAGGATGGGGCACAAGGAGCAACATGACAAAGTTATTTCAAAGAACTCCTCAAAGAGGAGGTGACCAGTGGCTATATGATCAATTTTAATGTCCTTTTCCAAGTTGAAACAACTGTGCTAATTCAAGATCTGAGGCAATTCTTCTAAAACCAATGAGCATCTATAACTAGCTGAAGAGGAAGCCGGGCGGGCACTATCTAGGGCACAATTATCTATTATCTTCACAGTCAGCAGACACTGCCTCACCTTGTCCCAGCCCCGATCCACTGGCAGCATGCGCTAGGAAAAGAAAGCGGCAACAGGAAACAGGAAGAGTTAAGAATACAACTTGAAAGGCAGAGGCATTAATCATCATCAGAAAAGCCAAGCGCTTTATTATAGGAGCCTGAGACATGCCAGAGAAGCATTTAAGTTATTTCAAGAGCTGCAAACACTGAAAAGACAGAAAAAGTAGCAAAGGCTGACTCTAAAAAGGAAGAAGCTAAGCGTACCCTTACATAGGTGCGTTGTATACCACACCATTTACAGACCAGCAAGCAGCAGACTGGTACTCTGCAACTCTTAACACTTAACTCATCATTTCACTGCAGTGAAAAGTGTGGGAAGTTATCACCTTTGTGCACCATATCTACTAATTTAAATCTGTGATATGCTCTCCAAGGGTCAGAGCATAGGCAGCAAATTATCATCACCTCTTGAAGATCCACGTACAAATGTCTGGCATAAATCCCAAAATAAATGGTGACTCCTAGTTTGTAAGTAAAGAATGGATACAAGATTACAGTTCTCTTTTGCACTTCTATTACTTATGCTATAGAGGGATTCCCATACAGCAGATTAGCAATTGCAGTCACAGAGCAAGCTAGTCCAGATCACAGGAAGACGAAGGAATGTCAGACTTTATATTTGCAGTCAACACTCAGAACTAGGGAAAGGCAAGTGCAAGTTATGGCTTTTCTGTCTATTCATGCCGTAGGGTAATCATCTAGACAGAGACTACCGAATCAAGTGAATTCATGCTAGAGATGACTCCCAAGAGATTCCTGACAGTTACACTGCTAGAAGATGCCTCTTCCCCGAGCTACATTTTAGGTAAGTAGGGTGTGGTGCTCACTGACAGAAAGCAGTTTTATTAAAAGGAAGTGTTTTTTGGATTATTCCAATCTGACTTATTCCTGCTTAGTCACACACTCTACATAGTACAGATATTTCTGTAGCATGACCTGGGACCTCAGTGGAAAGATACACCCTGCCCTCCTTCACCAGCTTACACCTAGCAGCTGTTTATTGCTGGGTTTAGCCCACAGAAATGTTTCCTAGCATACCTTAGAAATAAGCTGCTCCTATCATTGCAAGTGCACTAATTCATGGTTTTCATGCAGAACAAGCAATTATCATCTCATACTTCAATTGCAGATATACATCTCATGGTAGAGGAGCACTGTACAAGACTGATCTTGGTGTAACTTAGGAAGCCAGTGCTTCTTGGGAAAAACATAGAAGACACCATGCAACTAGACTCCAAAGCCAGTCTGACGGGGCTAGGCTCTGACGAGTGCACTTCTATGTGATAAAAAGCCATGCATAAGTTCATTTAACTATTTTGAGAGATATTTCCCAATAGATCCTTTCACAAAAGCACAAAAAACATGTATTGTTAGAAATAATCGGATCTCAGTTTTTAAAAGTGCAGAAAAAATGCACTGAAAGAACTATAGCAGAATATCATTTTTTCTTACAGTTTTGTTCAATCTTTATGACAGTTAAAGGGAAGGAATAAAGCTTTTCTGAAACTGTTAGTGTAGCTAAATGATTTGCATTTTCAGCCAGATGAAGCCCTGCTGATACATGCAATAGCTCAGCTTGCAGGCCGCACACGAAGTTAACAACGGCACCTTCCTTTTAAGCTACCGAAGCTATAAAAATCTAAATTCATATGCTCTGTGTTGCTTTTGTTATGAAAAGTCATAAAAATACTTAAAACTTATTCCAAATAGCTTTGAAAACTATGTTGAGTTGAGAATTGAGTTGATAACTGCATGTCTATGAGATGACTTAGGCCTTGACTAACAGGGCTTCAGCATGTTTAGTGCAACATCAAGCGCCTTTCCGAAATACAGACAAGGTCTTTGGTCCTGCTCATGGTCACCATGGTTTTACCTTCTCCTGTTCTGCATGCAACACTCTTGCTTGTGTGTTTTCATTTGTTGCCTGCAGCGAATGGTTCCTCTGCTCCATCAGCAAGTTACTTTGTTCTACATATCTGTGAACAGCAGAAGATGCTGTAAGCATTTACATAAGTACCTAAACTGAGAGAAAGGCTGAGATGGAAAAGGTGAGAGTTCAAAGCTTTCTTAATGACAAATCCCAGACAAGTCTGCATACAGTCCAACACGGAAAAGCAACTGATCTCAGAAGGGGTGCAAGAAGAGTGTCCGAAGTTCAGCATAGATAATCTCAGCTGACGTGAAATTCTGCACTTGCTTACTCCTAGCATACAGCCAAGATTTCTGATATACCAAAATTCACAGGCCTTTGCTACTTCCAAACACACCACACATGTAATATACTTATGCCACCCCCTTGCTCCCCAAAAAGACACCCCCCTCCACAAATCCTCAGAACTTGTCTCCACACTAGAGAAAGGACACCCCTCACACATTTAGCCAGGACTAAGTATATCAGCTGAAAACAGCCACTTCAGATGCAGGCAGGCTGTGGCCTCCCATTCCTTACCTCTGGTTCCGCTCAATCAGCTCACTGATCTTCTCATTCTGCTCTTCAATCCGACTGCTCTTCTCAAATATCTCTTGCTTCAGTCTCTCATTCTCCTAAAGAACAGCCCAGTCCAGCCTGAATATTGATCTTAGTGACTTCCTTATGAAAGGAGTCAATAAAGCTGGCCATGCTCACCTGGATTATGCGCTGAATGTTGCTCATGATCATGGAAGCTTCCATGGTAACAGACGAGATGCCAGGTAGCAATAAACTGTTACCAGCATTTTGTTTCTTTAACTCCTCCACCTGTAGCAATAAGTCATTCTTAAACTACATGAAATGCATTTATGAATGTAGACAAGTCAGACACCCACATAAAGAACCATTAAACCATTCCACCTAATCACATACAGTGCTAAACCATATGCTACTGTGTCAACTGTGACATCCTCTAAAAGGCAGTGACATTCTACAAACAGAACGCATCATAGGATGTTCAAGACTGTATGAGAAAGCTCTTTCTTCCCAAAGGTATTCTTAATTTTTTTTTAAATAGGAGCTAGAGAGCTATCATATCACTTTAAGCAACGCTAACTTTGCTCACAGGGCTGCTTGTGCCACCCGTTACCTTCGCAGCCAGGTGATCCACTTTGTCTGCCACTTTGCTAACAGCCATGCGGATTTCTGTGTTATGTTGCCGTGCCTCTGCCATCAAAAAGGAAGTAACATCCCCAGGTGCTAGAACGGAAAGGGGAGATCTTCAGTCACAAGGCTAAAACATCTTCATGTAGATATACAGAGCAATACTTAGTACCTCACCTGCAAACTTAATGCAGGTGTTTAAATAAAGCCAACTTTAGGCCAGTAGTTCTAAGCCTGACAGATAGGATGGCCCATCTCCTCCCAAAACCAAGACATGGTATCTGGAAAACTATTTACTTTTACCTTTACTATTATAACTGGAACTACAGCTACAAAACATCTTTAGCAACAGAGAGCCTTGGGAATACACCTAGCAGCATCTTGCCCTTTCACACTGTTCAAACTTTAAGGTAAGAAACAAATTTACTATGAACTCTTTGCCCTCATCTGGCATTAAAATAAAAATTCATGAAACAACATGGTATTCTAACAGCATGAATATGCCTATGCTGCCATTTCTTTATATTCATTATAAATACCATTTAACAGCAGGTATCAAAAACTTCTGTAAAGCACACACGTGCTTAACATACCTTGGTAAGGTGCAGGATACATCTGTCCTGCAGGTTGGAGCTGAGAAGCAGACGCAGTGGTTTGGGGATAAGCAAATGCCATTCCTGTATAAGCCTTGCACAGCAAATTCAATGCATTAAAATCTATCAGACTTCATAAAATTTTGTACAATATTTAGTTCTGGGTCTTCATTACTTGATATGGAAAACATTTTAATTTGCATGTTCAGTTCTTCAAAAGTTACATTAGCAAGCAGGCCACAGCACTTAAAAACAGCAGCACAAGCACTTTAAAAAGATTATATTATTGCTAGATGAAACATGATTCATAACCACGCTAAGTATGTGCTCTTACAGAAAAAACATACCATGACAGGGAAGAACCACAAGCACAATTCTTTTGGTTTCACTGGCTTTACTAGTTCTTGGAGGCTTGTTTTTTTACTTCACCACCCCACACTACAAGAGCTCATACTAAACATGTTAATTTAGTCCAACATTAAGAAACCATCAGCATGTAACAAGTCAGCCTTTTTTGATTAAAATCTAACAGGCACATGAAGCAAGTGTGGGTATGTCGAAGAATCACAGGAAGCAACCTTACATGTTGGTACAGAGTCCTTGCTCTCAACTATGGGCAGTAAGATTTATGAGAAAGGACAGAAACAGAAATGCCAAGTCCTTCTGATTTCATTTTGGTACCTGAAAGCCCTGTGATCCTCCAGGCAAAGCTGAGTGGGGTGGAATGGTGGCAGGTATCAAAGCAGCAGAAGATACAAGGGGTGTAGAACCAGATACCTGAGGTACTGAAAGGAGAGAGAATCAGCAACGCAGAACAAGTAGCTGAACATAATTAAACTCACTAATCTTGCAACAGTCAAAATAAATAAGCAGAAAAAGTCACACACACCCCCCACACACACACACAAAGAAGTCTGTGTCTTGAAATCAAATAAGAAAGAATAAGGTCAAGAAAAAGTTTCTTGGAAACTTCATCTGCAGCTGCAATTTCTGAGTTTCTGTTTGGACACATTATTAATCATAGGTGCTTTGCTGTTGGCTAGCACAAGGTATCATTCAGGATCACCAACTGGTATTACTATTTCATCATGGGAACACACGTCAAGCCCATTCCAGACCTGTCAACCTTCTGAGGTCTTTTGCTATTATTTCTATCATTTTCAGGCACAAGAACATTTCTTCTGTTTACTGAAATGTAAACAGAAGTTTTATAGAACAGTCATTTTCACTGCTGCACAAAGAATCACATAACACTTATCCTAAAAGTTTTAGTGCCACCCTAAGCACACACATTGAGAGTGTGACAGGGCAGCTCACGCCTTATTTTGCAGTGTGGCTGCTCTTCCTATTCACATCCCTTGTGCTTCAAGCCCATAAAGAATGGGATTTCTCCATACCAAAGCAAAGCTTTCCAGCACATTACCTTGTGTTGATGCTGCAGGCGGCGCTGCGTGAGTTGGCTGCGATGGTCTCATGGGAGCTGGAGCCACTGGCTGCGCTGTCCCCCTCGATGTATTTGGATCCTAAAAACAACTCTACATATTACAATGAACACTAAAGAACTAGTGAACAGTTTGAACTCAAAACCACTTAAGATTAGGTATTATCCAACTAACTCTTCTGAACTACACAGACAAACTGGGATTGTTAAATTATATTGCTAAGCAGAAACAAATTATACGTTCCCTGTACAAAGGGAGAGTTATTTACAGAAAAAGGCATTAAAAGGAAAAATTCACATTTTTGTGATTGGAGAAGTACCTCTATTTCTGAGTCACTGGAGTCAAGCTGACTACCTCCTGTCCCAGCAAGGAAAGGGAGCATGGGCTGTCCCATTTTAGCCATCCGAGAAATCAGCTTTGCCTTTGCTACGTCTGGGTTCTGAAAGAGATGTTCACAGTTACCTTTCACTTGTCCCTTGCCCCAGGATTTTCAGATATTAGAGAGATTCCTGTCAGGTTGAGACTCTTCTTAGAAGTCACTGATTTAGCATTTAAACTCACCTACAAGCCTGGTTCTTTCAATTTTTCAATACTGGCTGAAAAGTTCTGACTTTAGAGAGTACAAAAATAACACTGCGGATTTGTTAGCCTGTCTTACTACATACACACTCTCCTTCTGGGATGACATTGCTGTCATCATTACATAGAAAGCACATCCCTGCACAAAACACAGTAACAAGAAAGTGAGGTATAACAGAGTTTTCTGTCTGTCAAAAAAAAATAAAATAAAATAAAAAATTCTCAACAGCTTTTTCTATCCTGAACGGCACACCCAAGAACTTGCTCATGTATCCAGATAAATTTATGCTGAATATCTCAACTGCATTTTGCTGTCAAATTTAAGTTTGTCTATTTATCAGCAAAGACAACTAGTCCTGTTCATATCCAGAGTGAAACAAGTTTCGCATTTAAAAGCAGGAATTAGGACTCACAACTGTCACTAAACTTTCTCATGCTCTGCTGAAACCTTTTTTTTTTTTTTTTTTTTAAAAAAAAAAAGCCTCTAATTTGTTCTTTATAAACAGGTGAGTCTCTTGTTTGCATGATCTTCACTGAATCTTCAGAATACCAAATGCAAAGGTGAAATGAGTACTCCCACTTCCCTATGTGACATTCCTAATTAGCTAAAAACAGCACTTACTGCCAGTTGTTCACTGATTGAGTTTGACTTGGTCCGAACAGCTGGCTCCCTGGAAAGTCAAACAGGCGTGTGTTAATATTAGAGATTAACCAACAAAAAATTCAGAATTTAACATGCTGCATTTCTAAATACACGGAACTGTCAAACACAGCTTTCACTAGTAAAATATTTTCTTATAGTGTGAAAAACTCTTTGCTTTACTAAGATTCTTTGCAGTGTTTTAAGTAAATTACAAAACATTATTATTGGCAAGTTCTACGGCTGTGGAACAGATGACTACAGAAATGTAACTTCCTTGATAGCTGCAAGTATCACATTCTGTACAGTTGTGACATTCTGTACAGTTGTGACCTCCTAGCCTGATAAGGTACTTGTGGCAGCAATAAACAAGCACTTCAAATTGAAAAATAACTCTATAAGAAGGGTAACTGCTCAGTTTAGTTAACTTTAGAAATAAGTGTCAATGTAAAATTTGCAATCAAACACATGGAAATTGGCCATGACTCAAGACCAATTTATGATAATACTGCCAGTTTAGAAAGCTGCTGCAAGAGCACCCATACAACTTATCATTGACAGATCTTAGCTATACTGTAAAACAGTAACTTCTTTTCTGTAGCTGTTCTAATTTCTTTATATCCAAAAGTCAACATTCAAGCAGAAAACTTCCTGCAAGCCTTGAAAGCAAGTGTTCCTCTGCCACAGCGATGACAGCCAGCAGGCACACAGGAGGGCCCACAGGACAACCCCTATTTGCCAAGTGCTGTGCGAATGCAACATTGTGTACGCTGGTTCTGAACACTACTGTCTTTTAATGCAGCAGGTTGCTTTATCCATCTTCTCTCTTACCCAGGCTTTGGAGGTATTGTAGATGGAGGCAATAAAACAGGATCTGCAGAAAAACCATCTGAATTGGGTACTGGGGAAGGTGCAAGAGAATCTCTAGAACTAATGCTCTGTCCATCTGAACCAGAGCCTTCTTTTACCAGCTTCACCTGAAACAAAAAGCACCCAAAAATCAGACATTTTTCTGGGTGCTGAAAGTTTTCAGCATCTTGTTCATCTCTGACTGGTACTTCTTCACCAAGCTTATTCACTTCAAATAAAAATATTCAAACAAAGCTGGTTCAGAACTCATAACTGGAGAAGCTGAACTTTTACTTTAAGTCACTTGAGAAAACAAAATAGGACAACAGAAAAGGTTCCCAAACCGGTTAGAACAAGTATTTCTTAGAAAAACAGCTTAGTGGAGGTTTTGTCCATTGTGTGTGACAATTTTATTTATTTAAAGACATCCTCCTGTGGTATTTTGTTTACAACAGTTTGAGCTGTGGTTCTCATACCAAAGACAGGTTCTTCTCTTGCAGGCAGACACTACCAGTCAGTCCCTAAACAGATGCAAAAACTACCTAGATGAGACACTCACCCGCCTAACTTCCACCTCAAACACCAACGTAGAGTCTGGAGGGACACGGCCAGACACTCCCTGAGCCCCGTACGCCAAGGCAGGAGGAATAATGAGACACCTTCGTCCTCCTTTCTTCATCCCCATCATTCCTTCTTCCCAGCCCTTGGGTTTTAGGGACATAACAGAAGAGAAAGCAAACAGTTTGACCAATGACACCACAATTTCTTCTAATTACACTAATTAAGATAGCTACAGGCACTAGGAAGCTCCTTTTCACTGAGCAGGAGAACTTTCTTCTAACACCATCACTGAGAGAAAAGCTTGGCTATGATGTACAAAGAAAAAGTGTTTTGAGTATTTCACCAATGCAGAGCATTTTCTATCAAACGGAACATCATATAGCAAATACCATACACGAACCCTGAACAATGTCTTCAATAATTCACAAGTCTGACACTTCCCATTCTCTAACACTTCCCATAATGAACATGAAGTAAGTTCTACCTTGATGACCTTTCCAGATCCCAGCTTGAGCCGCAACAGCTTGTCCTTGTTGACATTTGAGTCAAAAACCTACAGAGTTGAAGAACAGAAATAGTCATGTGGATTTCCCGAAAGTTTCAAGATCCTGAACATTACTTTAAAACCATGGCAAAAATTTACAAACTTTTCATAAACTTCTAGCATTTCTTACATAGCATTTCCTATTCCATTGTCTTCCAAAATTAATTCCTAACAAACAGCATGGCTGGAGCCTTCTAGTCCATCCCACAGCACTTTCTCAAAGTGAACTTGGAGACTTGGACTTCAGAAGTGCTTTGAACATGATGGCCAAGACAAGAAAAATGCTACACAAGAAGCCCGCATCAGTAATAGCAGATGTGTTCTGCTTGGCTGGATCCAAACTGTCTGGCAGCTTTGCACATTGAATTACAACATATGCAGCTGTACAATCCCTAAAGGTGGTCACATGTAAACTCCTACATATATACACACACACACACACACAGACTCACCCCACTGATTTAAGGAAAGAAGCAATCTGCTTTTAAGAAGTCAAGATCAAGAACTAAAAATAATAATATAATCACAACAAAAACCAACAACCTTCCACAAAACTCTCCTCAACAATGAAAAATAGGCAACTGTTTTAATAATAAGACTCAACTGCAGATAGGTAAAATGCAAAGCCCTTCCCCTTGCATTTCTCAAAGTAAAACCCACTGAAGTGTTTTAACACTGATATTAAAGCATAACTCATGCTTTTGTTTAATAACAGATTGGATATGACACAGCTTTAGAAGACTCAAAGACAATTTCCTTCTTTTCCTGTTTAGAGATGCATTTTGTGCCTGACAAGCCTATTTTTATCAACTCATCAAGCTGTTTTCAAAGGACCATAACTAGCTTCATTGTCCCTGCTTAACAGGTTGTTTAAAACTAATATGTGAAAGTGCTTTGAAATTCAAGAGGCTTTCGATCACTTCTTCCTGAACAGTAACAGGGTCCTTTATTATTTCATAGTCAATACATTTACTTCAGACACGTTCCAAGGAACTGAAAAAAATATTTGCCAGATTCGTATGAACAGTGTGCTAAACACAGCACTTATGCACAATAATGACCATTACACTCACTCTAGTAGTATTAGGAGGTAAGAGAGGTGTTTTTACCTGTCCAATCCCATTGTTCTGGAACAGCCAACCTGTATAGGCAACCTCTAGGGAGTCTCCTGCTTCTGCTCCTTGCCCTTCTCCAGGAAGGAGATCCTGGTAGAGGACCAAATCAAACACGGGGGAACTGTTGCATTTGGCAATACAGACCTGCAAAAGGATGGCCTATCAATCTCTTTAGCCTTTAAATGAGCAATGGGTTTCACTGTGACTTATTATGTATCACACCATATCTGATGCATTTCTTACTACCAAGTCCAGGTTCCAGAGGCACTTATGAGATGCTGCATGCTTCCCTGTACTGAATCATGCTCAGCTGTAAGCATGAAACACCTTTAGCTTTGCTGAGCCACTGCTCTTAGAGCACTTCAGAATCTTTCATGAGAAATACCACCAGAAGTAACAGATACTCCAAACTGAATGCAAGGTATGGCTTGCTGGCTTAAGAAGTTACCTGCTTACTGAAATCCATCGCTGCCTTTTCTGACTCAAACATGATCGACCAGTTTTGTCTCTGATCATCATAGAATGTACTGTAATTGTTGGGTTGAACCTGTGACAAAGGAAATCAGTCTTGTGTTGCATCTTAAAAGATACATTCAATTAAAAAAAAAAAAAAACAGACAGACGGAAGTTAAAACAAGAGCTACTGGAATCAAGCAGAGTTGGGAAAGAACATTGCTGTATTACAACCTCAGAATAGAGAAATCAGTTCTCATTCTCATGCTCAGTATTTTGGAAGAATTATAACAGCTTAAATACTAGAGTAAATATTAAGTTCTTTGTAAATGCTGTAGTTTTCACAAGACAGCACTTTAAAACTAGGTTCTGAAATATCTACTTAGATTTTTGGAAAATAAGAAACCTCCTAAGTGTTGATCAGATACGGACTTTCAGAATCAATGGGAGTCACATACTGCTCACTTCTAGAAATCCACTTCATGAAGTTCACTACATAACTCAATAGTCTTTCAAAATGGGCTTTGACAGAACCCTGCTCAGAAATTTGGCCTGAAATTTTACTATTTTAGAGTAGAACTTCTATCTATCAAATCAAGAAGTTTAATATTACCTGGTTACAAGTAAATCAATTTTCTATAAAACTGGTGTGTTGTGGGGGAGGGATCTTCCTGGAAAATCCTATTTTAGGAGTCATAAAGTTTTGAGTGGTTCTTATGGGGAGGAAAATGCTGAGCATCAGACCTCATATGAGAAATACTTCCTTGTCATCTTTTCCGTCTGCTTGTTCAGTTGTGTTCTCTCAGACACTTTATTATCAAGTATTAGTGAGAGGAATTTTGTTCTGTTATTACCACAACAGGGCTGTAAGACCAAAACACCTCCAGCAATCTGGAGGCAGCTATAAGTCTCTTGTGAAATGCCCATTAGAAGAACAGCATTCCCAAGCACTGTGGCATCTCTTGACACATCAGTCAGGTGTTTGATCTCAAGGCCTGCAATCTAAGACTTGAGAAAACATTTCAGAGTCAACTTTTGTTTGCTGTGAATAGCATGGATTATTGGATGCTTAAGACGAAGATTGTCTAAACCAGAGTCTTACCGTGAGCATGAAGGCTGGGTGGATTCTTGCCGATGTGATTTGTTGCTGCTGACTTATGTAAAGGAGGATCCTGTACTGGATTCCACAAAAGAATTGGACAGAGTAAAAAACAAAGCAGAAACTCAAAACGTCTTCAATGTTAGTGCATTTTGTCAAATTCTGAGTTTAACACTGCAGTATTAATGTGCCAAATACACCACTTCAGCAGTATTGTTCACAGCAACAGAAAGGTTGACAACACAATTCTAAGAGCTATTAAAAGCACTTGAAAACATACAAGTTTTATTTAGATATGGGCATCAAGCAGTCCTTGAATGTTCAAACTAAGACATCCTGCTTACTGCAAGATAATCGAATACACTCTTCTGTCCAGTTATTGCACAAAAGTCACAGCAAAAGGCTGAGGGCTGCCTTGTACTCTCCAGTCCCTTTACTCCTCTCCTGATACCTCGAAAGTGCAGCAAGCCTTTGTTAAATAAAACTCGTATTAACATGATGCATACGAATAATAATTTAATTCTTCTCAAAATAAAATTTCAGTCACTTAGAAGCAACTTACTGTCAGACTGTTATTACTATAGTAAAAGTAACTTAGCAAGACAACACGAGTCAGGAATTAGAGGATAGATAACACCATAAATATCAACTGTCAAGGACAGACCAGAGTACATCCCTCCTTTTAAATACACCACTTCATCAGCCACCCAGCATCATATTGTCAGAGGAGTACTTGGAAAGGAAGGATTGGGGAAAGAGAGATTTTTGGTACCAAAAATAACAGAATTTAATCAAAGCATCTCCATACTACTTAGATTTTTTTTAATGCACATTCATTTTCACATGCACAGATTTGTTATCCACTTGCCAAAGAACTTAGGAATAAATACCCCCAAAAAATTCTACACACATTACAAAAGGCCAAGCATCTGATCCAATCCAAAACATTTCAGGCTTTAATAATTAGAGATCTTACAAAAAAAAAAACAAAAAACAAAACAACAACAACAACAACAAAAAAAAGATCTTACAAAAGCTGGTTGCAGAAATGAAAGTGTTTCTCACCTCTTTGGCAGCATGGTTCCCCACTACAGCTGCTCCATACTTGCCTTGCTTCAAATATTGCCCATTTGTACTGGAAGACAAGTGAGATAGTCAGCTGCAGAACCAATCCTGCCTCGGATTTCTCTCTAGCTCTCACTGAGCTTTTCCTCTATGAGTTCAAGCCCATTTCTCCATGGCTATAGTGTTAGGCAGCCTTTTTCAGCTTACAGAAACCACAACCTTGTTTGCCCACAGATCACAGGATCACACAATGCAGAGTGAAAATTGTTCTTTCCATGGATCCAGGGCAAGTCTTTGCATGACAGCAGTGTCGAACTGATGGTAAATTTTACATGACAGCAGTGTCAAACTGATGGAGAATTTTGCCACTTTTATTCTAAGTCAAACTTTAGTTCTCTACAAGTGAAAATGAGACACAAGTGTCTGACAGGGCTGCCCAGAAACAGCGTAAATGTCAGGCCAACACTCACTTATGCATTTCCTTGCCATGCACAAGGCCAGGACATCATATTCACCTGAAAACTGCATAATCCTAAACTGCAGCACAATAACTGAAGACTTTTCTGAGCAGCAATTTGTGCTGAGTTGCAGCACTTGTAGCACATAGACACATGCCTGTAAGAAAAGGTCCTTTCCCACTCACCCCAAAATATCTTCTCTTTACGATCAAGTCTTAGAACAGGCCCCCAGAAACCCAGACCATACAAGGCAATGCAGGAGTCTTACTGTACTTACTATCGATACGCGTGAACCGCGGTGGCCACGAACACTGTGGGGGCTCCCGGAGCAGCTGGAGCTGCGGGACCCTTCTGGACTAGCGGAGCTGCTGAAGGATAAAAGTAGGAAGAAGCCTCTCAATGATACAAAATCATCACATTTCCTAGTCAGTGTCAATGCCAGAAAGTCTTCCTTCTCCCAAATGCTGGAATAACTTCAGAAGAAGCCAAAAGCCCAAGAAATTATGTCCTCCAAATACCTACTACTGTTGCAAAACTGTGGTTGAACCTCCACATCCAGAGAAAGAGGGAAGAAGAAAAGATACTACAGTTATTTGAATAATAAAACTAGTACTTAGATTATCTGTTCTTGGCTTTTTTAAAAAAATGATAATAAAAAAAGCAACATGAAGTACCATTTAGGTCTCCCCTTTTAGCAAAGTCACAGAAACCTGCGGTTGAAATCAAATCTTTAATCTACCTTGGATGGATATGACCTAACTTTGTGTTGCTTCACTGACTGCATCAGAAACCACGGCCCAGTTCAAGCTCTAACTACACACTCAAAATTAACAGGATGGAAAGAGAAGAGACTTTGCCCTCACACCGCCCCCAAAAAACAAGAACTAATCCATCACACTAATATTTAAGTTAAAAGAAAAATGAGGGAAAATATCAAGAAGCACAGATGATAGCTAATAGAAAAGGAGGAAAAAAAAAAAACAAGGAAAATTAAGACAGCATAGACAAGAGTATGGTTTTATCTCCTTAATGAGCATTACCGGAGAAATGAGAAGAGCCCCTTCCAGTGTGTAAGTTCTGATACATTAAACATCAAACTCTCCAAAACAAATCCTAAAGACATTTATGTTTTTAACAGAGCTCCTCTGAAAAGTCAGCAATCTTTTCTTATATATTTGCACTGTTGTTCATTGCAAAGATTGCCGTTCTCCCAACAAGATATATTGCCCATGCTGAGGCCCCATTACTTACCAGTTGTTGTCTGACCCTTTTTAGGCTGCTTTGGTGCAGTGTATTGGAAAAATTCATTTCCATGGCTTGAGACTGTTTGATCCAGGCCAAAGAGTGAGGCCAATCTGGCACTAGAGAGAGAAATGAATTCATTCACCTTATTGGACACAAGCCTTAAACATATGGAAGACTCCTAACTATAAACTGCACTTCAATATGAACTGCTTACCAGCACTATAGATAAGCAAATACATGCACATGAAGCAGCTTTGTAGCAACTAACCAAGTAAAGTTGGATAAACAGATCTTTTAGAGGAAGAAGCTGCTCTAACCAGCACAACCATGTTCCACTTCCTCAAAACCCAGCATAAGGAACAACCAAGAACTGAAACCACACACAAACACACACACAAAAGTTACTGTAAAGCAACAGAAAAGACCATATTTCAGCGAAATACTTGTTTGTTCCAGCATTGTAATAAGATGGTGACAAGAGCACGGTCGGTATCTGGCACGAGAGCTGCCCTCCTTGCCACATCCCAGCGCACATCCCAAAGGGAGGCACTGTGTAACCTGCTAATGGAGGGGTCAGCTCTGACGGAGACGTGGGGCTGGTAGCGTTTTCCCTGCTTTTAGCACATTTAAATCCACCTGGGACCAGGTGACAGGAACTGCCAGAAGCCAGAACGACTCCAGCTACGCAGCAAAAGCCAGAAAACCCAGCTGCACCCCGGGCCAGGACGGCACAGGCCCGCACACCCTTTTTTATTATTGTTTTCTCAAGAAACACCGGTGCTGACGCTGCTTTACCCCAGTGACCCCCGTGGCTTCCCCGCAGCCGGGCGGCGCCCGGGCCGCGGCCTGTCCCAGGGGGAAGGGGCCCGGCTGCGCGCTCACCCGCTGGCGGGGGACAGGAAGTCCGCATCGTCCTCCTCCGCCGCCCCGAACATGCTCCGTCCCGCTCCGCTCCCACTGCCCGCCCCGGTCCCGGTGCCGGTCCCGGTGCCGGTCCCCGCCCCGCGCTGTCGCAAAGCCGCGGCCGCGCAGCGCGGCGCTTTCTGGCCGCGACAGCCTTGCGGCGCTCCCTGCCAACCACGAGGAGGCGGAGCCAAACACGCAGCCAATGGGGAGGCGGGG